ACCACCCACGCCCCTCCCCTCCTCCCTCCCTCTCTCTCTCTCTCTCTCTCTCTCTCTCTCTCTCTCTTTCTCTCTCTCTGTCTGCCTGTCTCTCTCACCCTTTCCAAGAAAAGAGAGGGGGAAAAGAAGCAAACGGGTTTCTTCAGAAAAATTCGAAGCAATAAATATAGTTCTCTAACAGCGAGCACTAAAACATTTTTTCAGAATGTAAAATTGGAGGTATGAAGCTTCCTTACTTGTGTATCTTCTTGGTCATAAGACATTGATTGAAACTATTTCCTTTGTATTTAGAAAACGTTATTTCAACTTCTCTTTTACCCATTAAAAAGTAGTGAGCTTGTAAGGAAATGATGTTCAAACTAACTTGTTCTCTCTTTTATTTCTTTTTGGCTCTCTTGAACAAATAATAATGTGAAAATATCGTGTAGATGTTATGGTTCTCGTGAATTCATTGAGACAGTGACCATACCCTAGTAATATTTTGGCTGTCTCACCAAAACACACATGACAATGTGTACAGCAGTCCTATGATTTACCTGGTCTAACCGGATGCCAAAAAACTCATCATATATTTCTCTAAACATGAGAAGTCGGCATTAGATTTTACTGCACATTTTCTTTCCGACTACATAATTTGTGTTTTGTGTGGTCGGCCATCTCCCAAAACATACAAGAACGCCCCAGTTTCTATCGGTTGCTGTCTCTTAGAGGTGGGAAGCGGTGTGAGTTCAATAATAATCATGCAATAAGAATGTGGTCAATGACTTTTCAAATGCTTTCCCTTGCCGCCTTTCAAGTTCAAGTCACGCTGTTAGATAAGATAAGATATGATAATACTTTATATTGCCACAAGAAACTTTTCTTGGCTGTACAGGACTTTTAGCAGGGTGTATATTAAGGCTTGCCAGCTTACTGTACCTCTGTGAATAACAACGTGAATTAATTGTATTTTATCATCGTGGTTCTAAGGTAATCTGCACGGACTGGGTGAGAGGGGCGACACAGTAGTCTTTTCGTTACCCTTTTCACATTAACAATCTCAAATGCATTCTCCGTTCGGGTGTATCTCTCTGTCTCTGTACCACAGGGCTTCCAGATGAATTCAGGCAAAAGTAAACTTTAATTGTGATTTGATTTTTCAAAAGAACAAAATTGTGTTAAAAACAGTCAACACCACTCCGTCAGATTTACGTCACTTCGAGAATACGGATACTTCTTAAGTCGCAGCTTTGGGTGTGATTAGCTTCCGGTCCTGGTGATGGACAGGAAATGAGCTACACTGGAAAAGGAAACAGTTATTTTATGTCAGAGATTGATTATGCGAGACAACTGGGTAGAGAGGAGAGGATTGGTGGAGGGGGTGAAAGGGTGGGGGGAGGGGATATAGTGCGCAGTTGATGTAGGCGTGTTCCTGGGCTTATTAATATTTATGAGAACAAAATGCATCTATGTTTGCTCAATCAGTAAGCATTATCACAGCATTGAACTAAAAAGGAAACTTGGTAGTTTTCCAAAAGAATGACTAGGCGAAGTTCTCTTTCATTAGCATCTCTTATCTTGACGAATTATGTAAATACCACCTCCCACTGTGAATGAGAAACTACTTGAAATGTGTCATGTGTGTGTCATGGCACGATGGAATCAGACGCTCGTCACTTTTGTTTTGGACATTTAGAGTCATTGGCATAATCTTGAAGACTGTTCATTTGCCTTGCTTTTGATGAAATGAAATGCCCATCTATCTTGAATAGAAGTGGAGGCATTTGTGATTGAAGGAAATGGTTGTCTAGTGTCAGAGGCTAAATCAGTGAGAAAATGACCCTCGGAGTTTAGTGATTTTCAAAGCAGTAGTGCCTTTTTTAAAGTTCAAATTTACTCTTTTTTTCCCTTTGATCTAAACCACAATTCAGATAAAAATTACCCAATGGGAAAAGTTTTGATTTATTCGATTTCGATTTTATCACTTTTATGTTATTGACAACACGAATATTTATCAAATGAAATCTTCCGAAAAGTAAAAGGGCCTCTCTTTAATCCTGAAAACGTAACATTAAAATGTCTCTTAACCGTTGTGCTCAGGAAGATAAAGAATTCATGCATTATTTATTAGACCCGAAAATATTGAAGTTTCAGACCTCACTGACTTCAACTTTTAAGCACAATATCAAAAATAGTCATAATATTATTTAGTTGTAGTAAAACTAATGCATCAAAATGTATTAGCCCCGAAAAAGGCACGTCTCAAAATTATCTTTTTTATTTCTTCAATTTGCTATGTATGTTACGCAAGATATGTGGGTTTTACTTTTTTCAAAGGACTAGGAAATTCAATCTAAGACGATATACATGTAATTTCATGTAGATATGACTGGTCAATGCATATATTATTATAAGTATCCATTTCATTTTAAAATCCTTCTCCAGTAGCAAAATCTGAACACAGCCCAACATGAGATGTCAACGGTGCTGAGTTATAAAGTACAGTTTATGTGGCAGACTTGGAGAACGGCATGTAGGGATGGAGCAGGCTTGCATCATTGTTGGAATTGGACTTCCTGGTTGCATTTCACGTGCACTCAGAAATTGAGGTCGAACACAGCAATGTGATTTTAAGCAATTGGCAAGATGATTCAGACTGGAAAACCCAAGACGAACTTCTTTTTCTGCGGAGGGGGAGGGGGGTGGGGCGGGAGATTTTTGGTAAGGGTTTGGACTATATTATTGTGAAAGGGAGATAAAAATGGTCCCATTGTTGTTGAAAGGGAGGAGGGGGGGTAGAAGAAGAAGCGGAATGAGAAAGGAAGGAAGGAAGGAAGGACGGAAGGAAAGAAGGAAGGAAGGAAGGAAGGAAGGAAGGAAAGAAGG